TATTGGTGAAGAAGGACTGGAATTTTGTTACCTTTTTATTTTATACATCGTATCGTAATGAATGTCTTGGACTTTATTGTCCAGGACAGGAGCCTGCAATTTTTGTATAAATTTAGTATGTTAATTGACTGTTTTAAATATTTATGAAAAAAATAAATAAATGCTGTATTCACTTATGTTGGTGGTTTTATTTTATGTTATAACCGCACCTTCTAATGGGCTGACTATACTTTGGGGAATTTGTCCTAAGAAGTGAACTAAATTTCACAAAACTTGGGGGCATCCAGAGAGAAAAATAAAATAATTGTATATATTAGCTTTCAGTTTGTGGTTAATCTGTTGTGTGTCCATTTAGAGTTGCGTTTGTTTTAAATGTGGATATATCCTAAGATTTTTAATACACAATTCTCAGTTTTATTATAAGATCACAGCTCCCCCATGTGGAGTAAAATGTAGTAACAATAACAATCAAGGGGCAAAAGTGTCTAGGGAATTTTGCAGTCTCTGAACAATTGCTTTTAACCCCCTAATTATTTTGTATATTCTCTTTACTTTGTTTTACACTAATGCAGATTTTTCATGATTTGAAGTTGGAGACCTTAATTTTTTGGCATTGTTTTTATTTAGCAAAAAAATACACAATTTGCATTATCTTTGCAAGGAAAAATAAAGTCACAATGGCTTAATTCCTTTGCAAATGAAGTGCGCTGATTGTAATAATGCCTAAATTGTGCTTTTTACATATTTTCAAATATTTGAAATCATATATACTCATATTTGTATTTGCAGGTATGTATCATACAAGTAAACATATTTAGATATATCGAAATCGTCTTCCATTGCGATTTCCCGTATATCTAAATGTTTAGTGAAAGGTAAAACTTCCAAAATCTCCTTGTAAACAATGGGTTACCAGGCTCTGGCGTGACGTACATACGCACGCGATCACTTCCGGCGTCACGTTGGAGACGGTTCAGTTCAGTTCAGTTGGACATCTGATTCAGATCAGTTCCACGGCTGTTAACAAGAGGTAAAAACTATATAAATACTGTTTTCTCACACAAACCACTCGTTTCGTGTCTTAGGCCATCAATGTGTACTTGCATTTACAAGTCATTAAATCATGTTTAATTTTGACTTCTCTGTGCATGCTCTTTGAGGTGGGCTCCATAGACCTCCATTAATTATATGACTGACAGACAAGAACGGTTTGACCAAAAAATGTCAAAATTGAAAATACTGTGGAAACAAAGACACCTACATCTTGGATGCCCTTGAGGTAAGCTAAAACATATCAAAATTTATTTCAAAGTGAACTATTCCTTTAACAATGATGTCATATTGTAGCTGTACTGGTGGAAACCAATATCAAATGTTAATTTTTTTATTTGAAGTTATGTAAATGCATCTTAATTCTGTCTGTCTTGAGATGCTGTGAAATCTAAAATACAATGTTTTCCAAGCTTGTACATTCAACCTAAAACTACTTCCTTATGCAATGGAAAACTTAAGCGTGTTAAGTGAGATTTGTTTGAGAGGCTTTTGTTGTAGAACAAACATGTATGAGTGATTGCCTCGTCCTCGCATAAAACAGGAAAACAGAATTCTCCTTAAAGCATTTTTCACTGGTGCTTCATGGGTAATTTTGGTCTAGCAGTTAGAAGTAGGTCACAATTCTCAGAATGTGTGAACTACAGCAGGTCAGAATAAATTTGGATTGCTGTGAAGAATGCTCACATTTGTTTGGTGGTACTGCCTTTCCCCACACTTTGTCATTTTGTGGTGGGATCTGCAAATTAGATGCATTTGCAAAGTGAAACCCCTCTCAATGTCACCAAAGATTTAAATAAAAACTACTGACAAACGCTGCAGGGAACATTTACTGCACTAATGAACACGTTAAATGCTGTACAGCCCCCTTCATCAAACTGTGTTATTTCGAGAAATCAAATCGGCTACATTTGTTCCTTTTTAACAGGAAAAAAAGAGCATTGCAGCATCTCGACTGTTGTAGAGATGCTGCAATGTTTAATATCGTTGTTTTTAATGTTTGGACATCATTGAGTTTAATTGAGTGATTTTGACAAACATTTAGCTGGACAAAGACACACCAGTTTTGTTTTTTTAGCTGCCAAGAATGTTGTTGATCGACGGATTGTCAAACAGATGTGGTAAATTGTTTACTGATGGTGATCCAACACCCTCCATATTGGGACTGCACTGCTGCATGGTCATTACTGATTCAACAGATGCAGTTTGGAAGCAAAAAAAAATATAAATAGTAAATGTGAACATTCTGATAGGTGTTAATGTCTTCTGAATCTGATTGTAAAACCCTCTGTGCTGGCCAGTGGTTTAAACTTTAGAGGTATGAGGGGATTTGGGGAATTTACAAATCAATGTGTCCTTGCTGTTGGGTGATATTTCATGCCTTCTGAGGCCATTTCAATTCCACCTTAATACTACAAATGACTTGACTTTACTGTTTGATTCATGAATAAGTTTGCCATAGGTGTTTTTCAGGAAAAGGTTTTTTTTTTTTCATGATTGCCCCCAGAACTGTTGAAACCTACTAACAAGGACACTCAAAGAGAGAGGAATGTCTTTACCACGTAAGTTTTGTTTTCACTTGCAGTATTGAATTGATTTTGTTTAAAATGCAAATAATTGTAACGGCCAATCAAATATAAATTATCTGCTTATTGATTTCAAGTGTAATAACTTAAAAGGAATAGGCATACATTTCATATGTGGTTGATTTAAAAGAGTTGTTGACTTTTAAAAAAACTTTTGCTGATAATTTACTCACCCCCATGTCATCCAAGATGTCCATGTTTTTCTTTCTTCAGTCGAAAAGAAAAGAAAGGTTTTTGACGAAAACATTCCAGGATTTTTCTCCATATAACTTAATGGACTTAATGGATTAACTTAATGGATTCCAGACGATGAATAAGATTCTTATCAAGCGAAAGGATTGCTCATTAAAAAAAAATAATAACAAAGTTTAAGTTTTATAAGCTCAAATGGTCTCCCCCCCCCCCCCCCACACTTGTTCAAGAAGCTGTTCGGATATACGTTACAATTGGGAAGAAAAGACTTATCGCAACGACTAAAGAACAGCTGAGTTGTTGGTACCGTTCGAATGAAAAAAAAAAAAGTTTTTACCTAAACCTCACCAGATCATTGTTTTTGTGTATTGATTTTTATCCCTATCAAGATGGATAAAGGTGTTGTTAATGCTTGAACTGCCTCTGACATACTGCATCATTTCAGACTTGTCTAATATGTTTGTGTTTGGGCTGCTTGTGTGTCCAAACATTCCAAGCAGATGGGAAATCATGACAGACATGGGTCAGAAAGATAGAGCTTGGTTCTTGGTCCATAATATTTATAAATACGTTTTCTGTGTGCGTAAATGTAATTCCTGATAACCCAGTTTCCCTTCAAACATTTCATAAACAATAACAAACATATCACATAGGAACTCCAGACAGCGCCTTACAAAAATGTTGGTAATGAGTTTATTTGAAGTGCGTCACAGCTAGATATCCAAGACAAGAGTAATTTAAATGATTTGTTTGCTTCTCTTGCCCGCTAGAAGGTGGCTAGACCCTGAGAACATAAACTACTGGGGCGAGATAACTGGACTATGACGATATAGAGCAGATTAACTCCATATGTTTGAGTTTTTGGGCACTATTTTGTTTTATTATATGGTGCTGATCTTTAGTATTTGATTCTGATTGGTCGATCTTGGCATTCAGTGGTCTGGTATTTCTACTATTGCTTCTGGCCAGCCCACTCCTTCAGCAACGTTGGTTCCAAAAGTATTTGTCCCATTAATTTTTCCCATTGGGATTTTGAATAAGTCGTCTCTAAAGAGAAATAAGCCATGAACCAAGCCAACTGGCTATGAGGTGGATCACAAAATTAAAATCTTTGATTTGAAGCAAAAAATATTTTGAAAATTGACAGGACAAAGGTGTATTTCTTTGTACACGATTTTTTATGGAAATAATGCAGAATGAGAGTTTCAACAAAAGCATGTTCCATTAATTGACATCCACAACCCTGAAGTTATTGCTAATAATCAGTCATGCTGTAGACTAATATTGTTGCAGTGTCTTGAAAAATGTTCTGTCCTCATTTATTTGGTGGAGAAAAAAAAAAACCCAAAAGGCAAATTTAAATTTTGTAAATTCTAACATCAAATTACAAAATCTTATTTGTGTTTTCATGTTTTTGCATGTTACCTTTTTTTTTTTTTTTTTTTTTTTTTTTGGTAAATCGGTTTGTCATATAACTTCACTGTTTGATTTTTGCCATTGGGGCACGTTGTCACTAAAGATGATCTTGTGTTCAGTGAACTGTATCTTTTCCCCCTGGCCAGTGATGCTCAAAAGCTTGTTTTTGTTTCACTGACTTTAAAGTATTTGCATGTATAAAAATTGTCTTCTGCCTTTTTCAGAAGTATGAAGTGTGAAAACTCACCCCGTTCTCCTCAGATCACTAACAACGAGGCAGGGACCAGTCAAAGGGCATGTGAAATGAGAACTACAGCCTCCAAATGGACTCTAGAGGTAAACCGTGCGAGCAGCACAACTGATGTCTGACGTCCAATTTTGACGATTCATTTCCAAAAGAAAACACTCAGCTGATTACACATTCCCATGGTAGAAGTTCACATAAACACTTCTATTGCTCTTGTGTTTGATAGTTTGAGATGTATTAGTATCCCACTGTGATGCTGCAGTGGCCCCTGCTTTTTAAAACATCTCTCTGCTGGCTACTGCTTGAGGAACTTTAGGGAGGGGTGGGGAGAGATGGAGCAGAGCTCTCTGATTGGCTGAGAGGCTGGGAACTCTGATATTCTTCAGTCCTTAAACCAAAGAGCATCACAGCACGAGGCACAGTGTCACAGGAAGCAAAGGGGACTTAAATGTTTCATTCTGTTTCAGCACGACCGTATCGCAGTAACAACTGGAATCAGTCTCTGGAGGATTGCATCTGTCATTTCTGTTCCTTTTCTCTTTCTCCAAGGAGAAGAGTAAGTTCCCATTCACACTTTATTCACTTCCTTTTTCTTCTCTGTGTACTTCCCAAAGGCATAGACTGTTTCTGTACCCTACAAGCGTGTCTGCTCATGTTTTTCTCGTTGTCACCATCCATCTGTTCTAGCATGTGTCGTCTTTAGCTTTAAGGCATGTGGAAAAGGATAGGCAGGTGCAAGGTGACTTTTGGGCACCTGACCAGTTCAGCCAACTCATCGTTGTACTGCATGCAAAGGCTTCTTTTAGAAGAGAGACATTTTTGATGGAATTTGCATCCCTAATCTATAAATAGAGCACCCAAAGCAGCCTGCTCTCACAGTCAGCTGGAATGTCTTATTGTATAATAATTATAGCAAAGAGTGAGGCATTATGGTCCACATGCACTTTTGTTTATTGGGGTTCGTATCCAATTGATGATACTTTTTTCCTTCCACATGTTAGTGTTTCCCCTCATAAATGAAGCCATGTGTAAAATCGAGCCCATGGCTGTGTGGAATTGATTCTGACTTTTGCCTTTTACTATGCAAAAATGCTCACTTCATGTGACATTGTTTTTTAGTGTAGCAAGATGTTTTGTATCTAAATGATTTTTGATCTACTTTAGTTAAAACATTTCACATTATATAAACCAAACAAACTGTAATACTAACCCCTCCCCTTATCCCCTTTTGCTGTTATGGCAGTCAAAATAAATAAATATATATATATATATATATATATATTTATATATATATATATATATATATATATGAATGAATGTATATGTATGTATATTAAAATATTTAAATAAGTAAATAATACTAGATTACTATAATTTAATTATAGTGAATTATATAGAATAGAGTGTAGATAATTAAATATAGTGATTGCAGTTAAAAAAGTGCATACAATATTCTCATTACATTTTTGAAAACATATACAAAGCAACCTGAGCTTGACAAATGAATGCGTTCAAGATATGTCTGAAAAATATATTAAAACGAATTTTCTTCATATGTAACATCAACTTGTTTTTATGTGTAAAACAAAAAGATAAAAAAAAAACCTCACGTGTACTGGAACAATTGAACTAGATCAACATTACAAGTTCATTTTACAATCCAGTATTTTTCAAAAAATGGGACATTTAACAATCCATCATGCACTTTTACGATGTGCAAAAATGCTGAATCTGAAACAAGAAAACGTTCAAAAGGGCGTGAAATGACATATGATGTCAAGAAGGCCAGATAATGATGTCATTGATGACACCACCCTTTCCCCTCTAAAATGTCATAAGGAACCAATTAGGAGCACAGATGTTTTAAAGCACAATATCACTGCATTTATAGCCATCCTTTAATTAATGAATAGCCTTAAAGTTTGTAAGCAGACCTCTCTAACACGTACTATGAACGTAATGCTTCAAAACCTTGCGTTTGCGGAGGTAACCTTTCATTGGCTGTCTGACTCTTTATGTTGCTTTATATACAGTATTTAAACACATCTCCCATCCACATCTTTGTAGTTCTGCTCCTTTTGCCATCAGTTTCCACTATGTACAGTGTGTCCAGAGTAAGTGCGTTTAAGTTAGTATATTTTATCATTTGAGGCATATTAAAATGGTCGGAAAGTGTGCAGGCATGTTTGGGGATCAAGGCCAACATGAGTTCATGCTGAAATTCATGCTTTAAAGGTCAATCTAAAGCTGACAGTTTGTTGGTTCTGTGTCCTGTGAATGTCACTTGACGGCAAATATCCGGAGCAGAATTTACCTGGATAATCCTCATCTGTTAAATCAGTGCAAGGAACCAGTAAGGGACCCTCAGGCGGTGACATGAACAAATGAACTATGACAGGCCACACGATCTCTGTGAGTGTAGTTTGTTCATTTTTATGTTAAAGGTGCACTCCAGAAAAATTATGCGAGGATATGTGAGCCGCAGCTCTTTAAATGATGCATATGAAGCCCTGGTTTCCTGTTGATGGTCAGACAATAGATTTGCAATCACATATTTGAAATATGACTTTTACCTTTGCAATGTGAGCATACAAATACCCTTCCTTGTGGAGATCACAAAGAACTTTTGATTAAAAACATCAATATGTCAAATTCATGAATTTAATACACTGAAAAAATTGAGTAGGATTTACTTGAAAGCTTTTTTTCACTCTGCAATCGCTAGTAAATTTCATAAGTACAAAGAAAAGCAAGTAACACATTTAATTAAAATGTCTTATCATGTACACTTACAAAATATGAGGACTCTAGTCATAACCCTTTATCTATAACCCCCTTTTTATCAGACGCTTTCCATCACTAAATAAATAAATAATGGCTGATTAATTTTAAAGTGGCTTATGGTCAGCAAAAAAATGTTATGATGCAGCATCCAAGCAACTAGGTGTCAGTATAACTCAATGCAACAGTTTTTTGCACATTGTAATGGTAAAAGTTTGTTGACATATTAAATGTGGCCTAACTTGTATTACAAAAAACTAAATGAAAGAAATGTCTCTATACATTTACATGTAATTCATAACCAGACAATGTGTCACAGGCTAAATTAGGCAGATTAATATTAGCGCATGTCAAAGGCGTCAGCTTTTTTATCTTAAATCTTAAAGTAAGTTCCACCCCAACAGTATATTTGGAATAAGAAAAACCTTTGCTCTTTTTCCATTTTAAGAGTATGTTAATTTAATTCCTCAAACATCCTGAGTGTGTGCAGAGGTTGAAAAGCCTTTTCTGAACGACTTTAAACAGAGCAGCCATTTTCCTCAAACTCTCTCATGACACATTAATAGTTCAATAACCTCAGCAGAAATGCAGATGGCAAGGCATCATGGGAATAACTGACATTTAAACATGTAGTAATGGCAATGCTGAGATACGAAAATTAATATATATGACCATGACGTGGGTTTGTGAGCCACATCTTGCTAAATTATCCATGTGAAGCCCTCTGGTTTCCTGTTTATGGTTATCTTTGTATATAATAGATTTGCAATTACGTATAGGAAACGACATAGCTTTTGCCTTCACAATGTAAACTTTTCCCAAGCATTCAAATATCCTTCCTCGTGGAGATTACAAGGAGAGGAACTTTTGATTAAAAACATCAACACTCATCATTTATTTTCTCGAGGATGCCGTGGGTTGTGAGTGATCAAATCAACTCCCAGTGCTTGATATTATTTTTGGCCAAAGTTCATCAAAGATATCTGTGGAAAAGGTTATGTTGTGCTTCCCATGGAACATATTCCGTAAACAATAATTGCTGTATGCCTATTTTAGCCTGTGACACTCACAAATATTTGCCTGGGGAAATAATTGTTTGAGAGCGTTTACATTTTCAGCTGTTACTGAGACATGCTGAGACTAAAAACACAGATTTCCACTGTAAATGGCACAATGTAAAGGGAGCTGTAGTTTTATGATTAAAGTTTCTAGATGAATTAGTATAATTAGCATGTAGCACTAGAATTATAGCTGCTAATTAACATAGCAATATTATGTAATGAATACATTTGATATGAGTTTTAGTTTATTCATTATAAATCATAATACAAAATTGGTTTATAACACTTTCAGCATGCTAAACACATGGGAATGTACAGTATGTGAGCTTATTCTGCCACATTATAGCCACTAGATGGTGATAGAGATTTTATAAAGACTATAGACCATTTCACAAGATGTAAACAACACTGGTCCAGAAGCACTTCCTGTTTCAGTTTGTAACTGTTTTCTTTATTTCACATGTAAAGAAACCATCTTAAAGATGTTTGTTTAACTTTTTGATTCAGTTTTAAATGTTCTGTTGGTTGTATTTTATCCCAGCTTTTATGTAGTGTTAGAAAACTGAAACAGGAAGTGCTTCTGGACCAGTGTTGTTTACATCTTGTGAAATGGTCTATAGGGTACATTTTCATTCCATGGACGTTATTTCTCTTCTTCAGGGCGTTGAGACGTTATGTTGCACGGCTACTTGCAATATTACTAAGGAAATGCTCTGTAAGAAAATATGGTAACCCTTTACAATAAGGTTCATTAGTTAACATTAGTTAATGCATTAACTAACGAACTAACCATGAGCACCACATTTATTAATGTATTTGTTCATCTTTGTTGACGTTAGTTAATACAAATACAGCTGTTCATTGTTTGTTCATGTTACTTCACAGTCAGTGCATTAACTAACGTTAACAAATTCAAATTTTGATTTTAATAATGTATTAGTAAATGCTGAAATTAACATTAACAAAGATTAATTAATACTGTAGAAGTGCAGTTCATTATTAGTTCATGTTAACTAATGGAGTTAGCAATTGAACCTTATTGTAAAGTGTTACCGAAAATATTGTTTATAGCATTCTTTCAAAAATTTGTTTTAGTATGTATGTTTTCATTTTTCAAGATTCGATCTCATTCTGAATATTTATCTTGAGTCTTCAACTTCAGCTTGAACTGAAAACAAATGTGGTAACACTTTACAATAAGGTTCATTAGTTAACATTAGTTAACTGCATTAGTTAACATGTACAATATGTGAACAATACTTCTTCAGCATTTATTAATCTCAGTTTATATTAATTCCAACATTTACTAATATGTTATTAAAATCAAAGGTTGTATTAGTTAACATTGGTTAATGGACTGTGAACTAACATGAACGCACAATGAACAGCTGTATTGTAACATTAACAAAGATTAATACACTGTAACTGCATTGCTCATCATTAGTTCATGTTAGTTAATGCATTTACTAATGTTAACTAATGAACCTTATTGTAAAGTGTTACCACAAATGTTTTTTTCCCCAATTCACTCTGTTTGAGTGTTTGGGTTGTGTGTGCAATGGTGTTAAAGAGCCCTTTCATTTTTATTATCCATAGTGCCTTTATGCTATATCACCAAGTCATTCGTTCCGAGGACCTTTTGCTCCACATTTGGGGTAAAATGCCCTCCCAGATGCCTAATTTTTAATGCAAAGCATTTCTTTTGAGACTAAATTTGTCAGAAGTTCAGACTTTATTTTGATTAACATATTTTGGGACCATAGTTTCCATAAGGCCCATTGGACTCTGTATGGGCGCCCTATTTTCAGTTTTGTGCAGGAAAAAGTGGAGGAATCCAGTGAGAGAAAATAATGATTTCACTTGTGAATTATAGTCTGACTGATGTCACTATATGTAACAAAGCCTTTCCCAGCCAAATAATAATGCAATGGCATGAATAATCACCCACTCCTATAATAGAAAAATTGTTTTAGGTTTTTGAATACCTCACAGCTGTAGGAATCTCAATTTAACATGAACAAAATGATGAATTCCCATGCTTATATTTAAATAGAGCATGCCAGAAGAAAATATGAAGAGTTCAGATGCAAAAGCCTCTAAATGCCATTTGAAATTTTCTTCTTTAATGATGATTTTTATCAAACTTATATTTAAGTTCGGTATATTTAAGTATATTTAAGTTCAGTAATTTCACTTAAATAACAATTAATAGGTAATTATCATTGCCATTTAAGTGAAATCACTGAACTTAAATATACAAGCTTGATAAAAATGATCATTCTAGAAGAAAATTTCAAATGGCATTTAGAGGCTTTTGCATCTGAACTCTTCATATGGAAATGCTAACTTGAAGATTTTAGATTATTGCATGTGTCAAAGATTCCGTTTGGTCTTTGTCTTATTTGAATGTGACTTTGTAAAACAAGTGACTTTGTAGAACTGGCCAACTTTAAATAGGACAGAGTTTGTTTTGCCTCATGAATTGTTTATGAAGCACTAATTTAAGAACTGAAGTGTACACAGTTCCAAGGTCATATCAAATACTTGCAATGATTATCATAAACGTAATGAGATATGTGACACAGCTCGGTGTATGTAAGTGTACGTGTTGCATGCTGTAGTCTACAGTATGCTTCTGAAAGCAATTATTTCTTTTTTCATGCGACACTGGCACTTGAATCGTTGGTTCCTTCCTAGATTATCAGCTTGTCCCCAAGGACCACAAACTCACTGATGGAAAGAGTAGTACATTTATTCAAATGCAATTTCTGATGCCAGAAATGCACAAGATGTTTTTGTATGCTGGTAGTTTCCTTCCTAGTCAAAATGGGATTTGAGCCAAAATGTGGGCATTTGGTCTGTGTGTGTGTGTGTGTGTGTGTGTGTCATCACTGTATTTTACTAGAGTCTTATGGTTTGTGTGATATCAAGCAGGATTTCATCTACTTTTGTGTCATTTATTCTAGGACTTTCTACATTTTGTGACTGAAACCTACGCTTTTATCTGGGGGACAAACAATGCAAGAGAATGCCTGCAGTGGAGAAAGTCAATTGGAGAGTGTAAGTGCACTGAAATCATTCATGCCATACACAAGCACAGACAATTAACTTCCAATATGTGTAACTTTTACAATTGTACTGGACATTATAATGGAAATCATTGCTTCTTTCACCTATAGTATAAAGTCATCTGAAACCTTGCCTATAAATGGTTTGAAACTGTTGTTTTAAAAACCCCATTAACTTGTTAAATGGAATCGCACGCAATGGGTTATTTAGTACTTACAAACAGGTTGGTGGCAGTGATTAATGATCTGAGCTGTGAAGCAGTGGTTGTCCAAGATTGAAACCCCAGAGAAGCAGTGACCCATGAACTGAAGGAATTAATACACTGAAAAAAATGTAATATGGTTTCCACAAAAATATTAAGCAGCACTACTGTTTTCAACATTAATAGGTTTTTTTTTTTTTTGAGCACCAAATCAGCATATTATGTTTTCTGAAGATAATGTGAAGCCTGGAGTAATGGCTGGTGGCTTAATTTACTCAAACGAAGTAAAACATTTATAAATTGTGTATTTTCAGAACCTCAAAACTAGTTCAGAATTATTCTGTTTTTTAAACAATACACATATTAGAACAGAAACATTTCTTAATAGCAGTCATTCTGGGCCCACTTTGCATATCCTTCACAAAACTAGTGGTTTCCCTTTATCTTGGTCTCTTTTACACATTCTGTTGACTAAGTAACGTTGCACCTACATGCCTACTAACTCTCATTAGAGTGTTAGAGTATTAGTAGACTGGAAATGTTAGGTTACTTAGTCAATAGAATGTCTGTCGGTGGACCATCAAGAGTTGGCAGATATTAAGCAGACAGTCTATACTAATACTCTAATGAGAGTTAGTAGACATGTAGTTGCAAAGTTACTTCTAATCGGTAACACTTTACTTGAAGGGGTGTGCATAAAACTAGCATGACACCTTCGAAACCATGACATGACATATGTCATGAATATGAAATAGGGTTTATGCATGTTTATGACAACTGTCATTATGTGTCATTCGCTCAGTAATGACATTTTGAATGCAAATATGACATTGTTTACGATGTCTTTGTTATTACATCTTGACATAAACCATAACATCATAACCTGTCATTTTCTTTGTTGTGACAACTTGACATAAAATTAAGTTAAACTGTCATGTGGTTGGTTTTGACATTGGCTGTCATGAGGCCATTATAACTGTCATGAATATTTTTCGTGACCTCAACTACAGTGGTACACATTGAATTAGTCATTAAAATGTTATAATGGCTTCATGACAGCCAATGTCAAAACAAACCACCTGACAGTTTAATGTAATGTTAACCAATAAAGCTAAGTGGTTTCTTAAGTTTGATAACGAATCTGCTATGTTATGTTTATGACAGGTTGTGTTGTCCTAGTAATGTCAAGTTGTCATGACAAGGACTCTGACAGGTTATGATGTTATGGTTTATGTCAAGGTGTCATAACAAACACATCTCAAACAATGTTATATTTGCATTAAGTGTCATTCGCTCAATTATGACTTTTTTAATGACAGTTGTCATAAACATGCATAAAACTTCCTTGATATTCATAACATGTGTCATGTCATAATTATGAAAGTGTCAGTCTCATGCACACCCCTTCAAGTAAAGTGTTACCCCAAATTTTTACAGTGACTGCCATTTAGTGGTTTGGGAGAATATAAAATCAAATGTCCTTTTGCTGCAGTCCTAATGCCTTATATCTGAAATATGTCTCTACAATATATCCTAACAGATCTAGTCTCAAGAAGTGTAGTCTTTCATCTGTGAGATTAATGAATTGAGAGATTTGTCTTTGACCTGTTGTCATGCTCTAGCTCTCATCGCTTGTCATCACCCCTGTAACCCGCATTACTGCTCACGTTGCAAAAGCCCGGGGCAATGCTGAGGGTTTATTTTTAGTGCTCTGTATTTCAGGACTTAATGATGTCTAAAATATGTTTTGTTTAATGGACTCATTTTAGGCACTCATTTAGAAGTGTCTTTTAATTTTCAAAACAGCCTTTTCACAATTAATATTTTTCATTAAATGTGCAATGAATTTTTTTTCAGTGTTTGAATGACTGAAAGTTAAACTGTCTAGGCTATTTTACCTTCCCTTCAATTTCTTATGAACCCTTTCAGATTTGAATCCCAGAGCAATTCTGAACATTTGGATTTCAATATACAGTAAAAGAAGAAAGGAAAAACATCTGCTTTGAAGTCTGTTCGTTAAATATCAGCAAATCTCTCATGATAAAGTGTGTGCATTTGTGTGCTGGTCTTTACCCAAGCGGCACCTTAATCAGTTCCCTCTGAAATCACATTTACCAATCTTTCAATGCAGTGGAGCGTTACAAAGCATCAGTGACGATAATTAAAATGTTGATATATTCAATGCCTCTGTGAAAACACTGGTAGATGGATCAAACAAAGGTTTACATATTTACTCGCTTATTTATAAGTTGGCCGATGGTTTATACCCCAAACACACTCAGAGGTAAATTGATTGTTCATGAAGGTCAGATATTTTATACTCTTTCAGTTCTCATTGGACACCTTGTTTTGGCTTTCAGCACTAAGTGAACACAATTAAGTAATTAATAAAATATGAGGTGATAAGGTGAACGTAAACCTCATGAGATATTTCTATCAAATGGAACACAAAGGAAAATGTCAATGTCAGAAAACAAGCAAGCACTTTAAAGACCGGTATTTGAGCAAAGGTACTCTTTCATTTCCCCTTCAGTCAGAGATTAGAATGGGGTTTTGACTAATTATTAAATAATTTATCTTTCAGGATAATTGAACTTTTTCTTTGCATTTTTGGGAGCCAAAATCAGTGCCGGAAGGACGACGAGTATGAAGCCTCTTTGTGTGACTCAATGGGGATTTGTGTTTTCTGCTTTGTCCCGAGGCTGTTCGGAGAGAGCTGGTCTCTCTGTATCAAATCGATAACGCCTTGTTGTATCCAGAGGGAGGGATGGCTCTCTCGCCACTTCAGAGCGTATATTGTCAAAAGAAGAGTGGACTGATGATCGCAGCAAACAGGAATGATGAATGAATTGTCACATGAAACTTCAGAAATCATGCTGCTAATATGTTGATTCAGTAATGTTTCTTATTATTTTTACTTTTAGTGCTGCTTAATATTTTTGTGTTAACCATGCTACTTTTGTGTATGAATTATAGCAAATCTCACATGTACTATATTTTGCTGTTATTGCTATCTGCGATCTGTGTCTTTTTACCTATGGGCTCGTGGGCTGATCTACACTAGTATGAGATCTTTAGAGCAAATATATTTTAGATGTTGCAATTCCAGTGATTTCAATATTATTTAAATGTCTTATATATTCAAACACTTAATTAGGCCAAGGTTAATGGACAAGGGTGACTCATTTATTATAAAATTAAAAAGCTAATGGTCCATTAAGATTATATGAATAAATTAACTTGTTTTAAGATTACCTTTGTGCAAAGCTGAAAAGAAAATCGCACTTAAAACACATCGGATCACAAATGGATCATCGTTGAAAAATCTTAATTGTTGAATAGAATCTGTACTTGTGTACTTTGTAAAAGTTAGTCTTAAAGTTCATCTGAATACCGATTCATTCTCACAATTTAACATATAGATGACTCATGATGAGACTTTTACTAAAAAATAAAGTCCACTGATATAAGTGCTCTAAAACTGTAATGCATTTGAAAAAAAGACTTAATCAAGCTCTCACCCTCTCAGGTCTCAGATTGTTCCCCAGAATCCACTGACTTATGCCTGCTATCCTGCATGGAGCCCTTTGCAGTCCGCAGGCTTTCCTGCCGGACCGTCCAGCTGCCCCCTTTGGCCTTCAGGCTGGCAGAGCAATACTACTGTGAGAGGAAACCAGAGACAGAGACGGCCCAGCCTCGACCCACCAGCCTCCCCTTGAGAGCACCCCCCCTCATCGCCATCACTTCTGCAGATGCAAGCAGGTAATCAGCTGAGATTTTATATATGTATGTGTGTGTGTATTTATATATATATATATAGGGGTGATCAGGGCCTGAAGTTAATTTTTTCGGCCACCGGCCACTGTGGCAGGTGGATTTAAAAATTCACCTGCCAAAGAGACTTTTTACCAGCCATTTTTTTTTGCCTCATAAACGTAAAAAAAAAAAACCCCAGGAATTTCACAATATTGTTCTTTAACTTGTAAGAATACACATTTAAGTGCTGTCAAGTAATAATAACTCTAATAACATACATTTAAAAAAAAAAAAATCTTTTTATTCCTTGATTTTGACAGACACACACACACACAACATAGTATAGGCTATAATATATACTCAACAGATAGACCTACCGCAGCTCGTAAACAAATCACACGCGGCTGTGTTGATGGCGGATTTAGTCACGTAGGTCTTACTTTTAACAGCTTTTAGTTACAGCGTTCAGGAACGGTTAAATATGAACTAAATTGATACTGTTATTACTGATAAAATTACCGGGTACCGGACATTTTCTCACCGGTTCCCAACTCCCAACATGCACAGTTGCACACGCACACACATCTGTGCAACTGTCATTGTACTTTAACCTACAACAGCGACGCATTACATTATCTCATCCCATCTCATCAACAGTTTAATACTCGCACACGTAGTCAGAAAAAGAGCCTCATCTTCTTTCTGATCGCATGAACATTACGAAACAACAGTCGCTGTCATAAATCAGCCGCTCACGAATCTTGCCATTGCCGCCGATTGTTCACTTTGTATTAAAATGTCTTCTTTACTTTTCTTTTTCTCATCCTCATCTTTTCGTTGGCTGTTTGTTTCAGCTGGCCTCTTTACCCCAGTAATGTGCCGCCACATTTTAGCTAAAGTCAAACGCAATAGCGGACTTCGTTGAAATGTAAAAATCCTATGAATCACTCACAATTCTCATTGGCTACCTGCCAATGTGGCAGGTAGATTGACAGTGTTACCCGCCAATAGCAAAATTCACCCGCATTTGGCAGGTGGTCGGGTGTTAATTTCAGGCCCTGGGGGTGATACTGTACACAGTACAGATACTGAGTCACCAACAGTACACAGTATCACCCCTCACATTTCAGCAAATATTTAGTATAGAAAGGAAACTTGGATATATTTTATGTGCTGCTTGTAAAGCAGTATATGTACTGTCCTCTGAAACTGGAGAAATTCTGTATGATGGAATGGTCTCTTGTCAGTTCTTCTCCAAACTCATCAGGCATTGTGGGAGAAAACTCAGAGCTGTTTTCTTGGCAAAAGGAGATTGCAAAAAATATGTAATAAAAGGGTGTCAATAATTGTGGCCAACATGTTTTGGAGAAAAACATGGTTGGACTAAACCAGATGAAATTAATGTTTTTCTCAAAAACATGTTGGCGGTTGGCAGTAGGGTCTCCCAACAGTTGGGCAGTTGGGTCTGTTCGAGGTCAGATCACGTTCTCAACACAAACGAACCACTCCAGAGTTTGGTTCACTTTTGGTGCGCACCCGAGTGCGATTGCTGCATTAACACCAGCCCAAACGAACCTCACCAAGGGGTACAACAAACTCATGTGTGATTCAACCGAACTAAATGATGCAGGTGTGAAATCACCCTGAGTCTCAGCCAGGGGAGAAAAAGTAATCCAAAAGTAGCGCGATGCTTTACTTTCCATTAAAAATAATCAGTTACTTTTTGGGAGTAATGCATTACTTTTAAAAGTAACTTTTCCCAACACTGTTTGCTATAATTGGATTTTATACATTAGCAGAACTAAAAAGCCAATTTTCGTTTGAGTAAATCGTCTGATCTAGATGTGTTGGAGCTAATTGGACTTTTGAGCTTTATATTTCCTCTTGCTTTGGAGACTTATTACAAGAACATTTGTTTTAGTCAAAGCCAGTGGTGTACTTTGATTGTGATTGCTACTCTAAACTGTAGCCTCTAGTCTTGGTTTGTATTGTCATAATTTTTTTTAAACATTTTCATGCGTGTAGGTAATATAAATATTTCAGATCAGAAGTTCCCCCCTGATTTTGCTGGAGAAAATAGATTTTTTTGGGTGACCCAACACTGAACTGAAGTTGATAAGAAATGTCCTTAAAATCATTTTGCAGCTAGAGACCGTTTGCACTGATTGCAATTAGTGTTTTGCACCAAGTGTAAATATCAACAAACAGCATTTTGTTTAAGCTAAATGCAAATAGTGTTAGTTGCTAGTATTCACACAGGGGAAATAGAAGTGAAAAGCTATTTGTACTTAAGGTAAATTAAAAATAGTAAAAACAGCCTCTGCCAACAAGGTTAATTGCACATAGATAGTGTTAACAGACACTGTCAACATGACACATGGATAAATTGACATTTTTAGTTTAAGTTAGATATTTTAGTTTTTACAAAGATGTACACATTTGTTTTATTAGGTTTTTGGTTTTTACATGGCCTTGAGCCTCGATGTTTGATGAAAGATGGTGGAGAAGTTCAGTGGTCCAAAGAAGGAATAGTCCAACCGAAGACAACTCCATCATAGCTAGCAACTTTCTCACAATTATCATCTAAAAGCAAAGGATGATTGACAGATTCTCTGCCTCTAGCTGACATGACTGTCAATCAAGTGCTCTGTGATATGCATCATCAGCTTCCGTCTACAGCGCATAAACTTTATGAATGCACACAAGGCTTGTTTTCCTCATATGATTATGGTAAATATATTTTTTTTCAACACCCCTGGAGGCCTCAGACTTCAACTGTGAAGACTGGAAATTTTTGAAGTTCAGATTTCGACTTGTATTGTAGAAACTGTTGCTATAGTTTCACACTGGCCAGTATTCAATTGTGTCGTCTTCTCTGAATAAGCCTTGCGTCTTGATTGTGTGTATGCATCATTTTCCTATTTTATGCCAGACTGTAATTCAGGTCATGCATTCCCTCTTTACAATTTAGTGAATATTCTAATACGACAACTTTAGTGGATAAATTGTCTCAATTCTCGGCATGTCACCCGTTGCCTCTAGTGGTGAGTGCTTTATCAGACACCGCTCTATTACACACACTTGTCTTTGAATTGCCTTTCTGTCATTGCTGTGTCAAATGCAGGACAGTCATTCTAATAAGGCTTTTGTTTTAGTGCCTGAACTGAGGGTTGACTCACATTGTATTTGAGTGAAAAATTATCTTCGATAAAAGAGAGAAGGCTCAAAAACAGATTTGCTGTCAAAAGTAATTTCATGCTTGTAACTTCAGCATTCTGTGTGGTGGTTTGGTGATTATCGTTCGCTCAGGTTGAATCAACACTTAAAGGCTGCTGTCAGTGCTCAGCACATGTGAGAAAACCTTTGTATGAGTGTACACAGCGACTGTTACCTTACATTTATATTTGTGGTAAGAAAAAATGAGAGAAATGAACTTTTATTTATCAAGGATGCATTCAATTGATCAATGGTAAAGAGTAAAGAAATATGGTGATGACAAATTATGACAATTTATTTTTTCGGTAGAAGCAGGTTCATTGGTTAACGTTAGTTAATGTATTAACATTTTACTGTATTTGTTCATCTTTCTTAACGTTAGGTAATAAAAATACAGCTGTTCATTGTTTGTTCCTGTTAGTTCAAGGTGCATTAACTAATGTTGGCAAGATTTAAATAAAATACTAGTAAATGTTGAAATGAACATTAACAAAGACCAATAAATGCTGTATACAGTATGTGCAGTTCATGTTAACTAATGTTAACTAACAAACCTTATTATAAAGTGTTACCATTATTTCTCTTTAACAACGGCTTTTATGCAATGCTGTTCATTGACCTTTCTATTCATCAGAAAATCTTTTTCAATAGTGATGATAACATTGATAATTATAAGAAATGTTACCTGGGCTCTAAATCGTGTTTAAAATTCAGCGTTGCCATCACAATAATAAATTGCATATTAAAACAGTTCTTTGTTATAATCTTTCACAATGTTACTGTTTTTAATTTTTGGTTAAATGAATGCAGTCTTGGTGAGCATACAAGAGTTCTTTAAAAAACTTTTCTTTCTTTTTTTATGTTTCCAAATTTTTGATATGTAGCCTACTGTATGCATAGCCTATATTGTAGCCTATGTATTTTTTTTTCTAAGTCAGATGACTGAATCTGACTAGCACGAATAAATAAGGAGTTTTGTCTTCCCAAAGTTGTTTCCTGCATTGTGCAAAGAGCATTAGGCTCCTCCCCCTGAGCTGTCAGTCAACCTGTGCTGAATAAATATCGATCTCCTCCCAGCATTAGTTCTTCTGTGAGTGCACATGAGAGTGAGAGGACGCACTTGGATGTCGATGATGCTTATATATCGTTCCATGGACTGCGAATATTGGCTGGTGTATTTGGGAAGAAATTCGACGGGACAGGCGGACTTTTGTGCAATTATGGACAATTATTATGATATAAGCGAACAGCTAACGTTATGTCTAGAGTAGACGATGAAATATTGGACCAGTTGGGTTAGTGTATAACGTTAGTAGTGTAACTTACAAAAAAAAAGACTTTTCTGTTTACATGCATTTGCAGATTTCACGTAGAATATTGTTGTTTTCTTGGAAATAGCACTAATATTGTTCTTTACATCATGCATTAATGTTATACATTTTCGGACAATTCGCGCCAAAGATAGTTGCAATAATTCTACCACAAAATAGATTAACGAATTTTAGCGCGTGCTGCAAGAATGGACGCGGGAAGCGATGTATCAACTTTGGTTTCTCCCGGTACTGATAATCCCCCAAAACATCTCTGGAGGCAACAGAACCCGGTTCCTCTTCAGATCCAGAACTCTTTCGGCTCGCGCAAGAACTACCGAGTGAGACAGAGAGGCTTTTCCGACACGGAAAAGTACCTGAAACCCAGGACCATGGACCGGACATATGCCGTGGACACCGGTAACCGTCCCGGTTTGAAAAAGTCCAGAATGTCTTGGCCATCATCCTTTCAAGGACTTAAACGGTAAGACTGATTTTTTTCCATCATGTTCAAGCCAACTAAACACAAATAAATGGACTGAGTTACTTTTAAAAAATACTAAACGGGTTGTATGTAGGCTAGGCTAGTAAAACATTTTCTATTTCCTTAATTCTAAATATTAAGTTATATTACTTTGTAGAGTTCTACAGAAACCTTATGAAATTGCTCATCAAATTAACCTATAAAATACTAAATTCAGTGAAACAAGCATAACGTTACATATAAATATCAAGTCTTTTATTTAACGTACTTCAAAGCTGTGAAACTTGATTTAACGTTAATTTTACAGTTGGTATTTTGGCCAACGTTTGGAATAACGTTAACGTTTTGTTAGTTTTCGTAGCAGACAAAGATTGCAGTTTTAAAATTTTGTAACTGCTTAGTTTATAATAATGTTGTCAGTTTTTAAGTAAAATGTGTCTCATTTTGATGTCATGGCGCCTTAATGTTTTAAAAAAAGTCTATAAATCTTAATGTTTGAATATGAATGTCTTAAACTTTAAATTATGAGATTATCCAAACTTGAAAAAAAAATAAAAAATTGACTAGGATGTCATCTTGAGAAGAAGCATCCCAAAAGTCATGCAAGTACAAGGTATGTGCTTTACACCATGCAGTGCTTTGTAAGTGAAAGTGTGCTGATTCTTGTTAAGGCATTTTTGCTTTCAGCCTGGAAAGAAATTAGGCTTGTTGCTGTATTCTTTCTGGTTAGGAACACAGTATTGGAAAATCGATTGCAGAATGGACTGACACAGATATGGGTCAGAATGTTATATAAATTAGTTTAATTATAAATGGCCTTTAGTTAAAGTACAAACAGGTTAGCAAATGGCCAAGCAAAAAGTCGAATGTCCAGGTAATTGTAATCCAATATTTCTAATTAGCCCAGAGCATGAGACATGGCTTCTCCTGATGAGTTCGTGCATAAGTACTTTTCACATCTATTGCTCTCTGGAGAGCCCTCTGGAGAACCGCTGTCCTTCACGGCTCCTCCTTCATTCACCGAATGAGAAATAGTCTGTGATGGGTGTAAACAGTCTTAATTCATTGCAAGCGGAATGCCAGACGTTCACATCCAGTCCCTGTTGGTCTAGTACTTGGCAAGAGAGGAGACCAATGGTTAAAATATTCCCTGAAGGAAAACGAGTGTTTATCAGAGAGCTTTCGTTACAGGCAGAAATATGCAGATACCTTTTAAATCAATCTAATAATATTAGTTATAGATTTACCATACTTTTCAGTCAAAGCAATGAAATCTTTCCTTTGTTTGTCCTCGCATTGCCACTTAATGTACCTACTTGCCTTGTTCACGCTTGGCATGTTGGCATTAACGGGATGGTATAAAGCCCCTTTTCACAATATGTAAAATAAGTCTCTGTTGTCCCCAGAGTGTGTATGTGAAGTTTTAGCTCCAAATACCCCACAGATATGAATTTCAGACAATTTTCATGTTAGAAATTGTCTCTTTTTGAGGCTCAGTAAAAAACACATTAGTTTACTTGTGTAGTCTTTTAAAAATGATTTCTTTAAAAGCAAATATCTTCCTTTGCTTTGAACTTTGAGTGTTGTAACTTTGCAGATGTTGTTTATGCTCAAAAATTACCCTGGTGCAATTGCTCTGTTAGGTTGGTTCATTTAAATGAGTGAACGCTGAAAAGATGAGTTTCGGCCCACTTCCAAACAAACTCTGGTGCAGTATGTAAGCAACACGGACCAAAGACATGTAAACAAACCAAAAACGGGACATGATGTTGCAAGATGCGACCCTAAAAAGGACAAAATGTTCAAGCATACCTATTTTCTTCTCATCATAGTCACGTTGTCGCCCATCAGAGTTCGGTACAGACATCAGAACTGTGTCTCCTCCCAGCAGATCTTCGTTTGTGTGTGTGACGGAGAGATTCCTGCCACTGTTTAGACTCCGTTTCACCTTTTATTAGCTCTTCCACGAGTTCTCAGCTGGTCAAAATACCATCATATGTAGGCTACGCACATTTTACACAGCACAGCATGGTTTGGATGTTCGGTATGCTCCATCGTGAATAAAATATATATATATATATATATATTTATATACACTTTATGTCCAGAAGAAACGGTGCAACCTCATCGTCCGATTTAAAAATGTTCCCGATTATTTTTATTATTCGTTTCTTTGATGAAAAACGGTATTCCCTCGCCCTAATCCTCCTTCTCTTCTTGTGGATTGTCTCTTCTATGTTAAATGTATCTGGTCCATTGATAGCATAGGGTTGATAGACGCTGGCTTATTCTTTAGCTCCGACTTCCCGTGAACGACAACACAAACAACAAACAACACCCCCCGCAACAACATTGAAAGCTCGGCCCAACAGCTGATCATAGCTGTACAGGGCCCCCTCCTTCCTCTCTAAACCATTAGTATGTTTTATTACACAATGTATGCAAAAAACAAATACATTTTTGTGTCTTAAACCTGACGTCA